AGCGGCCCCGCCGATCCCGACCCCGCCCCCGGCCGCGCCGCCACACCGACAGCGGCCCCTAACCCCGCCTGCCCCCGGGGTCCCCACAGCCCCGGAGAAGACACAGCCAGGCCGCAGACCGCGCCCAGCGCGCACCTTGAGGGTCGGGTATTCCTGAACCTTCAGGGTCATAGACAGCTGGGCCGCTGACTCCTGCACCGCCATCTTGGTCCAGCCGAGCTGGGGAGACAGACGCGCGGCACGCCGGGCAGTGACGTGCGACGCAGTGAGGGGGGCGGAGCGGCCCGCGGGCCTGGAACCAATCGCGTTGCCTGACCGCTCGGCGGCTGAAGCAGTCGTAGGCCAATCACCACCGGTCTGCCTAGAGCTCGGCCAATCGGCGACAGCCCTGGAGAGCGGCTTCCGCATTGAATGGTCCGCCGCGTCTAGGCCACAGATGCGGTATTTTGAAAGGGGCGGAGCCGCGGGCGGGATTCGCTGGCCGGAGGTTGGGGCCCCGGCGGCGCGCTTGGGGGTGTCCTGTTGGTCAGTGGCCCTGCCCCCAGTGGACGCGTGGACCCCGTGGCCGTCACCTCCTGACGGTCTCTCGGCGTGTGGCTTCTGACCCCCCCAGTGTATCCGGGGACTACTTTTCTTCGTCACCATTTTCACATAGCAGTGCTGGATTCCTCTTGCTTCCTATTGGAAGATGAAAAGCCAGTGTTTAACGTTCTCTGTGTAGGAGAGGATTGTGAGCTCCTGGGTCTGCCTGCAGCGATACCGTAATGGGCACTTAGGAAGTGCTTTTTCTGAAAAGCATTGACTCCTTGATTTGGGTCTAAAAGGCTCCAAATGTCTCGTCATTGTCCTACACCTGTAGTGGAGTTGGATTCCAGGAGCAACAGGACTGATGAGTAGACATCTTTATAACAGGGGACTGAAACTAAGCAAGATGAGCGTAGGATAGACCCCCCCAGCCCCCGAGTGAGGGCAATTACCTGTGATTTAGTCTGCACCTTCGAGAAAGACTATTCATAATAGGAATCAGCTTGACCCCTCAGGCAACAAGGACTTCTTTGAACGGCCTTGCAGAACCGGAACTGAGATAATAACCAGACCACGATAATAATCAAACCACACCTTGAATAAGATTGCCTAATTATACATACCTTTTGCCCCTTGCGTTTAAACCTAAAGTTCCTTCAGTGGCCAGACAATAGACTTGTGATCACTGAACCCCTTTATCTGTACTTCCCAACATTCCCTTTTCTTTCACCATTAGTTGGTGAATTGAGACCTATGGCTGAGCCCTGCCTGTTGGGACTCCCCATTGGATTTTTTTTTCTGTAACACTCCAGTAACAGTACTTTCTTGTCTGGATCATTTCACATTCTCAACCTTTTAGAGTCACCAGTCTTTCTCACCTTCTTTTTAAAATAAAGTTGGAATTCATTTTATTAATTAGGAAATGACTTCTGCATCAAATTGTCTCGAGTGTCACAGAAAATTCTACAGTCATCAAGGTGCTTTGGATATTTTGAGACATAGCTTTGAATAAAGTGTTCATATCTCCACTGCAGCTCACTGAATTTTTGCCTTAACACAAGCTAGTCAAAAGGCAGAACTACTTTATGTTCAAGGGAAGGTTCTGTGTCCCTCCCCAGCTGGTATCACCTCTCCTTTGCGTTCTATCAGCTCTCCATGAATTAGTCATCTGGCCTGAGATGATGAAGCGAAGAAGGTGTTGAGGCACAGAAGTGCCCACTCATCCAGTCCAGACTTAGTTTTTGCCCAGGTGGTATTGCACATCCTTCTCTGTCACCACCCCATCTGATTCTCTTCTGTGGTCACATTTATGTTCAGTGCTTCAATAATTGATGCACCACAGCTCCTTAGAGGCTGATTTTATGGCTCTATGGATTCAAAACTAGCCCAAAAAGAAAGGCATAGATTTCATTTTCATACCATTGGTGCCATTTAGTTTTGGTGCCATTTGGAGTTAGGAATGTTCAGTGATAATAAGGTAGCAGTTTGCACACTGAAGATACAGAGACCTCCCACAATCTGATTGGATCCTTCACTCTAGAGTGTCTTGCATTTTAAGATAAAGCTGCTTTGGGATTGTTTTGGTCCTGTTTTAGTCAGTGTTCCTTTCAGTGACAAAATTCACAAGGAAAGAAATTGAAGGAAATACTTATTTTGGCTCATGGTTTATAGAAGTTTCAGTCTATAGTCAATTGACTCATTGCTTCTGGGCCCCTGTGGTGAGGCAGAGCATAATGGTAGGGAATATGTGATAAAGCAAAGTGTCTCCTCATGGCAGACTAGAGTCTCAGAGACCAAGAGAGACAAGGCATGCCCTTGTCCATTTGGCAAAGCAACGATAGTAGCTTCCCCACTAGGGTCTATGACCTAGGGCTTTTGTCCAGGTTTACAGTACCAAACAAGAATTTCCTTTTGTGAAGAAGGACTCAAATCCAATCAGAAAGTGCTTGGTTACACCCATAACAGTCATGTCAGTGCTGTGCCAGTGGGCACATCTTGCCTTGTAGGTTGGTAGTGTAGTATGCAGGGTCCATAGCTGAGTAAGTCAGCAGTTTTCTTCCCCAGCAGCCTGCGTAGCATCTCTCAGCACTGTGAAAGCCAGCCAGCAGGAAGGGAGGATGCATTTTAAAAAGAGCTGTAAGTTACTGCCTTTTTTTATGATTCTGAGGAACATTTACAGAGTATGAACAGAAAATCCTCATGTCTTGCTTTCCCAGAGTATGGCATCCATTTAAGCTGCCAACAGGAAAGGACTAAAGGTTTTCTACTCTTAACCCTATTCACCCTGCCACTGCCCAAGATAATAGTGCTTTGGGTATGTTGCATTTTTAAAAAATATTTATTATTTTTATTTTATGTATATGAGTGTATTGCCTGCATACATGTCGCTGCACCCATGTCGTGCAGTGCCCACGGAGATCAGAAGGTGTCAGATCCCTGGAACTGGAGTTATGAATGGGTGTTAGCTGCCGTGTGGGTGCTGGGAATCAAACCCAGGTCCTCTGCAAGAGCAGCCAGTGCTCTTAACCACTGAGCCATCTCTCCCACCTGAATGTGTTACATTTTTGAGACATTTTCTGGAAATACTCCACTCTGACACTGCAGACTGAGGAGAGTACTCATGTTCCAAAAGCACCCAGTGCTCTAACAGAAAAGACAGTGCTTGGCAACCTGTAAGTCAGCAGCAGACTCCAGAGCTGTGGGTAATATAGGGCCTAGGTCAACTCCAAGTATGCAAAGGAAGAAGGCTCCAGTGTGAGGGACATTTTAACCTGAGGCCTGGCCTCTGATATGTGGATGTGGAAGGAGGTAGGCTTGAGGTAGAGTCAACCTGCAGGTAATGCACATTACTTACTTCCTTTTGGGAGTGACAGTGCCTGGAGTCCACCACTGCCACAAGTTGATCAATCATCTAAAAGGAGGAAAATGCTGCCTGCTGGTTACTAAGTGACTGCTGAGAGGACCCTGTGCAACAAGAGGCTGTGTTTTCTTTCAAAAAAAACATTGGGGTTGGAAAGATGGCTCAGCAGTTAAGAGCACTGGTTACTCGTTCCCAGCATTCACATGGCAGCTAACAACTGTCTGTAACTCCAGTTCAGGGGATCCGATGCCCTCCTCTGGCCTTCTTGGGTATTGTATGTCCATGGTGTATTTACATACAAGCAAAACATTCATATGCACAAAAATAAATAAAATTTAGAAAACCATTATTATGGGAGATGTGTGATATATATGAGTGGGTGCCTGCCATGGTGTCCTTGAGGAGGTCAGAGGACAGCTTTGTGGAGTCAATTTTTTCCTTCTACCTTTACTTGTTCCCAGGATTGAACTCAGATCACTAGACTTGCACAGCAAATACCTATACCCATTGAGCCATCTTGCCAAGCCAGGAGACTGGTGTTTTTTGTTTTTTGTTTTTTGTTTTTAATGTGCGTATGAGTGTTTTGCCAGCATGTGTGTAAGTGTACCCATGTCATGCAATGCCCAAGGAGGCCAGAAGAGAGTGTCAGATCCCCTGGAACTGGAGTTACAAAAATTTGTTACCCACCATATGGCTGTTGGTAACCAAACATGGGTCTTCTGCAAGAGCAGCCAGTGCTCTTAACTCCTGCCCAATCTCTCTAACCCCAAGGAGGCTATTTTTTAATGACTGTCTCAGATCCTAAGACATAGTTTGGGGAAAGTGTTTTGATTCAGCACACTTGGCAGGCAGGTGGGCTGTTGGGTCTGTGGCTTGTTGGGTGGTCACAGCATCAGGATGTCCCTGGGTGCCCTGGAAAAAGCCAGAGGCAAGGGGTGCTTCTGGTTTGGGGTACAGCCTGGCTTTTTGAGAACTGATTCTGGAAGGTTTTGCTTCACTAAAAGTAACAATCCACACAGATCAATGGGCAGAAAGCTGGTGTGTGGGAGGGACCCCTTCCCTTACTGGCAGACTGGCAGAGGGACAGGGGATGGGTGACCTTTAGAGACTCTGAGGGACTCAAAAGGAAGTCCTCTGGAGAGAAGAGCCTAGCCACCTGCACTGTCACATCTGGAGCCAGAGGTTGGTCATTGTGCCTTCATGGGAAAGGAGGAATAGGTATTAGTCATATTGAAATGAAAGAGAAAAAAAACTCATCCTTTTTATCTAATCCAAACCCAACTGGAGCCACTACCTGCAGGAGAAATGGGGGCTCATCACCTGGCATTGATAAATGAGTGAATCAATGAACACGTTTTTGGAGGTTTTCACTGGATATCTGTCAACTGAACTGGGCCATTTCCACCTCCCCAGGCTCTAGTTTGGGGTGGGACAAGGTGCTGACTGAGCTGACTGATTGGAGCAAGACAGTTGGTGTAATGCCTCAGTGACAGTGGCTGAGGTCTTTGGTGACTCCCATCGAGACAAGTGAGGGGTCTCCAAGTGGGGGCAGCTTGTCTCCGCCTGCAGTGGCTAGTAGCCCTGTCTAGCAAAGTGTTGGAACAGAGGCCTTTATGGACTCTTGGACATGGGCTGCTGAGTTTTCAGATCAGATTCAATCCATTTCTTGTGTATATCACCTTTGTGTGCATTTGTTTAGCAGTGCTGGGATTGAGCCCAGGAACTCACAAAGCTAAGCAAGCGCTCTGGCACTGAGCTACATCCCCAGTTATATTTTATTTCTGACACTGGAAGGGCACATACACTTACATCTCTTCCACTTCCCCATTCCAGATTCTTTTCTTTCAGACATTCCAAACCCACACCTGCCTTCCCCGGGATGGTGTATGCCCTCCC